AGTGTACTTAGTCATGTATTTTAATTTTTCCTACAAAATATTGAAGCACAAAATTACCTACTACTGATTTTTTTATGTATAGATTAGACTCTGACGTCTTATGTACAAAGAGGTCAAAAATGATGTCCAATAGAGAGCAACTGTATAATAAAACTCGAAGGTAGATTTAATTAATTAATCAGTTATTTGTCTTCAAATGTTAGTAGTTAGTAGCCCTCCAAGATAGAAGAATTTTGTCTAACGTTAGGTGAAGTAACTAGGAAATTTTAGTACAATTAGGAGCCACATATTAATTTGAGAAAATTGTTATGATGAATAAGAATTTTTCCCAAGACCTTTGACTGAATTCAGCCAAAAAAGAGGAAAACAACAAGAAGAAGTTTCATAGTGCTACTCCATTAAAGTACAATGTTTGTTGAAAGTTGACAAGATGTTCAAACCCTATATCTCTCAGAAAGTGAGTCAAAGGAAGCATAATTTGAATTTATAATACTCACAAAGAAACAAATAAATTTAGTTATGTCATTTCATGAAATGCCATGGAGGACTCATATTTTATAGGTTTAATACGTACATATATTGCCTCGTGAACTTGTCGCGTATTTCATTTAGACAGTTCAACTAAGTTATATTTTAATTGGTTACCTTAATTCCTAATAAAGGATTTTAATTTTGATTCAATTTTTTTTGCTTTTGTATATTCTCATTGGCCTATTAAGTGGTTAAGTAACTGCATAAAATATGTTATCTCTTTTAATTATATCATTCGCCTCAATAAATAAAAAAAATCATATATTTTCTACTTGAGATTGATATATATAACTGAATTAGTTGATGTCATATTTTATATAGTTATAACATATGAATGAAAACACGCACAAAAGTTTTTCTGAAATTTAAATCGAAAATGTCTAATATTAAATCATTTTATTAGAAATTGAGGTATTCAATTTGAATATCTAAATCAAATTTAAGAGACTGACTAGTAACTATATATTAAACCTATTTTATATGTACTTACAATTTTTGGAAGAGCTTGGAGGAATTTTCTTGCTTAAAATTATAAAGATCCTCTCTCAAGTTCTGAATTTGAAGTGTCAAAATAATATATTAATCTTTGTCAGCATCTAAAATATATTTAGGGCATCCAAATATTGTCTCATGTTTGGATGAAAAGGATTTCATCTTCTTCCCTTCTTTTTTTTTGAAAAAATAAATAAATTACCATTGGATGAAAGATAAATAAGGAGCCGTTTGAGTACCACGTGAGTTATCCACTTCTTTGGGAACACTTCTTTAACGTTTTTTTATTTTAAGGTTTCAATTTGTTTGACTGATTTTTATTTGACAAGAAGTCTAGGTAAATTTTATTTTTTGATATTAGTATCTTAATATATAAAATATTCTTTGATATAATATTAAAAATATATATTTATTTTTAATAGATTAAAAAAAATTAAATTAAAACGAAGAAAATAATTTGTAAAATCGCTCTAGTAGCAGTAGCATTAGTAGCTATTGAATGGATCTGGCAGAAAGGCAACAAGAGGACCCCACCATTACTCTGCCGAGGAGTAGGCATTTTCAGATGTCACAATAATATTCTACAACTAAGACACCACGTGGTCGCTTCATATATACATGTACTTTTTTTTTCATCCGTTGGAGTCTATATTGAAGCTCAGATTAAATTCGAATCATGTATAGCAGGATTCGTTCAGAATGATACTTTCATTAGGATCTTGTCTATATTCATGGCTCGAATTCAAAACTTCTAATTAAGAGTGAAATAATTCGATCACTGCACTACAACGTATGTTAGTAACATGTACATGTACTTCACTTCCATCTTTATGAAATATATATATAACACTATTTGTATTTATTTCGCACATAATATAATTTACATTTGAGCTCTTAATTAGAGTGTCTTCATGAGTCTGAGTCCTCTACGATACATCAGGACTAGTTAAAAAGTTACATATCTTTGAAAATGGAAAACAATATTTTAAAATCATCAATAGATAAATGATACTATCACGCCAATTACTTTTTATTTATTTTGTATAAATTTTATATGCAATGCTTATAAAGAAGGTTGCAAAAGTTTGTATTGGGTGCGACATTCAAAGAAGTCGATTTTGTAACATTTCAAAAATTTCTAAGTTAAGATCTGAATCATTCTTCATTTGTGTATAAGGTCGTATCAAGTGATTCTTAAATTGTTTTTAGGTGTTAAGGTCAATTTTTTAGTGTGAAAATGAATTTGGATATGAATTAAAGGTTACAAGAATCCCTTAGCACAAACTTGAGTTGAAAGCTCCCATATTGATTAAGTTTTGATATAAGATTCCACTTGGGTCAACTCTAAACGATCATATCTCTCAGCACATAATGAATTAGGTTGCCCATGACCTATCAAATTAAAGGTCTATGAGTCTTCTTTCCAACGTCAACAAGTTTGCCCTGGTTTGAGTTCGAAGTAAAAAATAATGCCCATTTTAGTGAAAACCTGTCAGAAAGTCGAAGTTCTACGGATGACAACTACATACAGTGGAATGTTCCACGAACCGTAGAGCCATCTGTGAAGGCTTGTTGCAAATTTTTTTCAGCAACTTCCTGCATGCGTTCCAGGGTTATTTAGTCCTTTCCCAAGCTATTTAACCCTATTTTAAGTCATTTTTAGTGTTTAATTAACGGAGTATATCATTCAACTAACTAGTTTTCCTATCAAAATCATCAATCTAAACATTGAAGTATCTAGAATTCTCTCAAAACTCACCTAGGGTTCCTCTTCTCCATCAAGAACCCTAAAACTTTCATGTTAAAAATTCAATACAAAGAGAAACTTTCCATCCAAGACTTTCCCAAGTTCTTTCACTCAAAGAACATCATAAAAGAGATTCTTCTCTCGTGATCAATCCCAAGATTTCAAGCTCAAAGATTTCCTCCGAGAAGCTAATGTTCTGCTTTTCTCCACCAAAGTTTCTAGTTTAAAAGCTTCATAATCAAGTATGTAAGGTTATTCATAGTGTTGGACTAGTTTGTTCTCACACCCTACATCTCAATTCGATAAGTAGCAAACTGAATCTAGGATTTCGCCCTTAGTTTTACTATGAGATTGTGATACTTTATGCATTGAAATTCTTGAATTATTATTCATGATTGTAGTTCCACATGAATCCTATATATTGAGTTTTACTAAAAGTATTTCGATCCAGTAATTTTCCTAACATTGATTTTGAAAACTAAAGCGAGTTTAAGAGAAAAGTTTAAAGCATTATTTTCAAAAAGAGTTTAAGGCAACTTAAATGTTCCGAATGTATCATTTTTACATTGAAAAAGAGAGCACTATTTTCATAAAAGTATAAAGAGTTTTCAAAAAGATAGTACAACTTCAATTACCTCTTAAAGAGGCCTTTTGAGAAATTATCTCAACTCAGAGAATACTTTTAAATGAGCAAACATTTATATTTTAGGATTAGTATTGATCACCGATTTGGAGTAAGAGTTAAGATAACTCGAACTCCATAATCTACGCCGCCAACATAGATAGGATCGCACTGCAAGACGAGCGACTCCTTTCTTGCCTCAAGAAGCTTTTTTAGTAGATCCATCAGTTTAGTTGCGTTCTATACTCTAACAAGGTATAGGGAGGCTATGGCAACGTGGGTAAGACGTTGTATCATCACGAGGCTCATAGTGATGGTTGTCGGTTAGAGAAACTCCCCAATAAAGTAAAGTAAAGCAAAGCATATATATATATATATATATATATATATATATATATATATATATATATCAGTTTAGTATTTGTTATTATTGCATCATTACAGTAAGAGCTTAAATGATTTTTCGTCATGATATATAATATATTTTTAGTTGAGTTACCTTTAGACTTTTCGTTAAGTTATTTGTTATTCAACTATATTACATACTCGATCATTCAATGTACTGATGTCATTCAATCTGCATCTTTTTAATGATGCAGATTCAAATACAATTCTGTTGAGATCACTTCATCTGCTCGTCAGCTTTTAGTGAGGCCTCCTTGCGTCTGGAGGGCTCCCGTTTTATGAGTTGTTGATAGTAGCTAGCATTTTGAGGTATCGCAGGTCTTGTCCTAACACTCATCTTTATACAATAGATGCTTAATAGATAGACAATTTCGGAGAATCTTTCAGTTTCAAAGGTTTTATTTAAAACCTATGTTTCATACTTAGTATATTAAGAGAGTTTTGAGATTGAGTAAATTATTGTTAAATGTTTCTTTCAGTTTGATACTTGTGTATGCTTGAGTTAGTCTTCCACTTGTAGTCAGCTAGGATGAGAGTTCACTTGGGGACCATCAATGATTCTTGAGTGCCGACCACATCTAGGGTGTAGGCTCGACAAAGATACCCTTCACAATTATGATGAGAAAAATATTAAATAGATTTTGAGGGGCAATGGTCTTAAACCATGCTCATGCATGCATTAAAATCCCTCACATTACTAATACCTAGAAATCCATGATATTAGCTATACACACCTTAATACACAATAGAGTGTATAACTAATAATAACATGAAAAAGTGTACCAAACAAAGTATTACTAATACACAGAGTTAAAGCATGCATTGTTTTTACTAATACACTCTACCAAACGACCCCTAAGTATTTGTCTTATAGAATTTAATTGCTAATAACTGAATCTAATGAGTTAAACTACGACGCGTGTATTTGACCTCATATACAAATTCAACTATACCATTTTCTGGATAAACGAGTTAAATTTATATCCTGAATCCGACTCAATCTAATCAATTGATTGGTTAAAGCAACACCATTATTCAACACTACCTATTTGAAAGTGATGGGAAAATAGATTTAACTAAAATGAAAGTCCAATTGGCCACCTTATTACATACAAACAATACTTGGAAAACCAAGTTTGACTAGAATATAGTTATATATATTATACAGACGTCTCTCTACCATTTGACACAGTACATACAATAATGTCTCAACAAAACATAGGTGGTGCAAGCTCTTCAAACGATGAAGGAGCAGGTAGCAGTAGGGAACAAGACCGTTTGTTGCCTATAGCTAACGTTGGTCGCATAATGAAAAATATTCTTCCACCAAATGCAAAAATATCAAAAGAAGCAAAAGAAACAATGCAAGAATGTGTGTCTGAGTTTATTGGATTTGTGACTAGTGAAGCATCGGATAAGTGTCGGAAAGAGCGTCGGAAGACGGTGAATGGCGACGACGTTTGTTGGGCTTTAGGAACATTAGGGTTTGATGATTATGGTGGAGCATTGAAGAGATATTTACATAGATATAGAGAGAGTGAAGGTGAAAAAGTTAATCAAGAACAAGCAGGAGGAGGATCAGGATCTCATCAACCAAGAAATTATCTTGATTAATTAGGGTTTTAATTTCTTCTTGATTTTTACTAATCTTTGTTAATTAATTACAAAGATTTGAATTTGTTTAAATGGAATCAAATACAATAAACACATCCTTGATTTTCAAAGTTTGATTTCTCTTTTGTTGATTTTCCTAACAAGTTTGATTTCTTTATAAGATCAATTAAAGTTGTACTTTTTTTTGGGTATGGGTTCAATTGATATTATCTACACCTTTTTGTACTATGAACGGAAGCAGGAGAGAAATGATTTTCTAGCTCTTTACAAAAAAAAAAATGGTTTTATGTTCTTTTTTATTAGAGATCTTCGTTTTTAGATACAAGAGATCTGAAAAAGTCATTTTCTTCTATTCAAATTGTAAGAGCGCCAGAGATCTGAATTCCTCCTGAAGTATACCAGGTTAGTAGAGATCATAGTACTTATAGATTGAACTATGTATTTGGTAAAAGGAAAATACTTTTTAGAAATTAGTTTTAATTTTTCTAGTGATTAAATATCCAAAAATATTTTACGTTAAAAGGAGAAAAATGATTTTCTTCCCTTATATTCTCTCCAATAATAATAATAATCTATATAAATGTTTCTAAGTTTTACAAAGTGTTTGATAACAAAGATATTTTCCTTCGTACCAAACACACCTATGGTACTGGTTTTATTTTGTCTCAATTAATTAGAAAATTTTCTACTCTATGTCATTTAAGTGTTGATGAGAACTAATTTGGTCCTTAATTTAAGCTAACTTTCCCTTTCTTCCTTATTGTACTGTTTGTTTTAAAGTAGGAAATAGGAAAGTGAAAGAATACAAGAGCAAAATTTTTATATCTAGTGTTTCGATATATTAACATTTCTTTTCGTTTCAATCCTAATTAATGAACATGTTATTTTCAATATTATAATGAGTCCACATATATATAGAGATTTAATTCAACCACATCAATTATTCATCTAAGAACTTGAAAGGTCATTTTCCAAAATTACGTGAAGGAGTAGTTAAGTATGATCCTCCAAAATTGATATATAGTTGAAGAAATTGGAACTTGGCTAATATTAGACTTAGATACTGATATATGAGATAGAAAGTTTAGTTAAATGATCTGTGGACCCATTGTTAGTGACTCATATACTAGTCGGAGAATTAATATATATCAACATTTATGATCATGCCCTTTAAATGGATCCAAAGAAAAGAAGTTGGATAGGGGTGTGCATATAGTTTTTCAATTTTTATTTTTCTGAATCCAAAACTATACTAAAAAACCAAATCAAATAAATTATTAACCCAATAATAAACCAAAAAATAATCCCAACTAAAATTTAATTTGATTTGATTTTTTGATTTAATTCGAATAGTGCAAATCTATGATGTTAGATATATATTAACACTTCACTCATGTAGCTCATAGGGTTATTAGGGTTTCCCAAATTTTATACATTAGTATATAGGTACTTTAATAATTTGGTCATGACCATTATACTATTCAACATTTTAATTGGAGAATGGAATCAATTCCCAAGGGATTTACTCAAGGTAAATATGATGTTGATTGGAACATGAAGGAGACAAGAAGGTGGCAGACGAGCAAGTCTAGGAATGAAAAACCAATGACAAGAGAGAAAATATTTTGTAGAACGAGAAAGTTGGTCATTATCCTATGTATAGCCAACTATGAAATATAGCTAGCTAGCTAGCCTACAATTGTCTCGTGATAGAGGTGAGTTCACTTTTTGAATTTTTTTGGTCATTTGAATGACTCAGTTGGTTTGGAGGGTGCTCATCCACACGAATGATCTGAGATCGATCCTTCCTCAATGCCTTCTGAGTCGAATATGTCATATAGGGCTTACCTAGTGCGATTTACATCTCCGGTGTGGTTTGCAGGCTATTACACAATGAGGGGTTTATCTAGTGCGCACAAAGTGCTCACAACAAAGTGCTCACCCGAAGGGTAGAGGACAAAGGTTGTTGCGGTTGCGGGTTATCCTGGGGTTCAAAATAAATAAATAAACATTTGAAAGATAAAATTATTGAGTTTGATTGAACTCGTGAAATACTTTATTGCGCATGATGAAACTATAGTCATTAATGACATTCAAATTTAGAGGATATAAATTCTCAATGGTAAGATAACTTTTATTTATATTTGTTTTCACGTATCTATATAAAGTTTGATTCCAAAAATGTTATATTTTCAGTAGGTTACATATTATGAGTTCAAGATACACTCGTATGGTGAAATTGATAGACATGTTATTTTTTAAAAGTGGCATGAATGATGAGTGGCACTAACATTGAATCATTTATAATTTTTCATTAGTGAAACTGTAGTTGACTGTACTTTGAGAATTAATTCATGTGTTAAGATAGATTCTAAGAAATTATTAAATTTGTGGAAAATAGTTATCTGATTCATAGTAATTAATTTTGCCAACTTCAAGAGCTCAAATTTGTATTGCGCGAAAAATTGAGGTACTAAGTTGACATGAGGAATATGCTCTCCTAATTCATCGTGACCTAACGACTTTATCGGTCGCCTCTCAATCAATCTCGGTGATAAACAATCTTCATTTACTTTTATTCAACCACCTTTTATCATTACCATCTCAAGCACTCTTGATACATTTGTCACATTTCAAAATCCTACTAATAATGAAGGAGACCTACAATCTCGATCATCAATTTTATATTATCACAATCTATTAAATTCTAATTTTTTTTAAAAATATCATTGTACCTACACAAGAATATATTGCTTCTATCCCTCTGAGACAGGTAGAATTCATCAATAATGTCTCAGTAGTTACATAAATAAAAGCACAAGTCAATCGTATAACGTAATCGAAAACTTATAATATTACTCTAATCTTCTACTTATTTTTTTCTTTTGTTTCATGTACACAATCCAAAAGCTGGAGTTTCATTTTGGAACTTGTTTGGGCTCAAAAACATGCTCAAGTCAATAATTATTAGGATTGTCATCACAGTAGGAGTCGTCTAAATTAGAAGTCCATCATTCCTTTGCCTTTAATTTCTTTTACCGTTTTGATTATGTTCTCTTGATACATTAACTGATTTTTACATATGTTTGCACATATTTAAAGTTCAGAACAATAAACTAATTCTTTGCCTTTTATATAGAATTATTTGTGTGAAATAACGTTATTTATTAATGAATTCAATAGCGTGTTACAAATCTTCGATAGAGTTTTCAGAATCAAGAATGAAGAAGAGTGTTATATATATATATATATAATGGGTTAATGTTATCAATTTACTTATCAATACCCACTTAGGCGTTTGAATTGAGGAAAAGAGGAGCAAGAAAATTTATAGCTTGAAACTCCCAAATGTGTTTAAAACTAGCTAAGTTTAAGGGTGTGTTTGGTATGAAGAAAAACATTTTCCAAATGTGTTTAAAACTAGCTAAGTTTAAGGGTGTGTTTGGTATGAAGAAAAACATTTTCCAGAAAATGTTTTCAGATTTTCTCATGTTTGGTTGACTTAAATGTTTTGGAAAATGTTTTTCAAATCAACTTATTTTCCTCAAATTTAAGGAAAATAACTTCCCTTAAAAAACTTAAGGAAAACATTTTCCAAAACTCTCTTCTTCTTTTTTTTAAACAATTTTTTGGTGGTTGTTACACCGTTTTATTAATTACCAAAATTAAATAATACAAATCTCAAAAAGCATTAAAAAATGTTTGACCCAATCCACTATGATCAGCTCTATCTATTCCTCTGTATGCTTTCCTAATTTTGGATATCTTTCTAAATTCCTCAACAATCCCAAGGTGTTTCCATTGTCACCGGCTGGCACCTCTCGCCGGCACCTCCATTTCCTCCGCTTCCTCTTGTGGCTTCACCATCTATTTTAATCCATTTCACTTACGGATCTTCACTGAACCAAGGTACAAATTTCATCTTCACTTCTCTATCTTTTTTCTTTCCTTCTTTGTGATACCTTCCTCTTTGTATTTGCAGTTTCTTCGCTTGCATATGACTTTGCAGGGGGCAGCCGTTCGTAACGCAGCTTCTCCAGTTAGTCGCTTTAATGTTTGTGTCTTTGGCATACCTTTTTGTATTTAATACTGTTGTTGAATCTCGATGCGTTGCAATCCCTTTTATATTCATACACTTGACTTTTCTGATATGTCATGGTTGTTGTGCAGTATTCTTTCTTGTTTTTACCCTAATCGTTGGTATTTGATACTTGTCTACATTAAGAATCTTTTTACCTTTGATAGGTAGTTCTTTAAAACTGTGAAATTCCATCCTTCTGCCTTCCTCCGCTGCATGATTATCTAGACAATCTGGTAGTTGATTGCCCTCTCTGAAGATATGTTATGGTTTTATACCTTGTTTTGACACTCCCTCCTTGATCTTCCACCACCTCTACTACTTCTCAATGCACTTTCCAGACTTCATTGATGATATTAATCATCACAAGGGAGTCTGTTTCTATGATTTTCTCTTCTGCAACTATCGTCGCCAAGAATCTTAACGCCTCCAATATTGCCTTCGCTTCTGCTTGCATATTCGTAGCTTGTCCTAGTACATTAGCTTGCTTATAACATAAATCACCATGATGATTCCTTATGCAGAACCCATAAGAACTAAGTCCAAGATTTCCTTTACTTGCCCCATCTGTATTGCACTTGATGCCACCTTGTACTGGTAATTCCCATTTCACCACATAATGGTGCAGCTTGGGCTTATATATCTTTCCAAAGTGTTAATTATCTCCTTCCAATCATGTCATTGTACTCGCAACCATAGATATAAACCATTAAGCATATGGTGTATAGCTGTCTGAATGTGTTGCACCATTACACAAAAAGTTGTGTATTTTTCATATTTCCTAGTGTTCCTTCTCTTTCACAATTCCCAGATAATTAAGGCTGGAATTGCCTTATGCCTCAGCTTATATGTGTGTCCACACTCCACCACACCTTGACCAGTTGGTGTAATTGAAGTCCGTCAATATTTATCCTTGCAAAAT